TATTTTTATATTATTCTACACAACTATTGGTGTTTCAAACAGGCATCTGCAACGGAAGTGAAAGAACTGTCATTATGCCGTCCCCTGCCTTTTTTGTTTTTCTTATTTCCACACCACTTTTTGGTGGTTGCCTCTCGATTGAAATTCTGAATATATCCTGTGTAGGGAACAATAATGAAGTTGTATCCTTTTCTGTTTTTCTATTTTGCAGGGTAGCTTAATATATTGGCTTACAAATAGTTCATTAACTCTCATTCAGGTTAGTCCTTGACGTTTGCGTTGATATAAACAGAAAGAACTTGCAACTATTGTGAGAAATTCTCTGCTTATTTTGCTGCTGACCTTTCCAGGGATAACTTCGATAATCCAAGGGGGAAATCCCTTTGAAATACTCCACACGTTTTAAGATTCTTGCATGCTAAACTACTTGTTTTTGTGAACAGATTTATTACTTGAAAGAAGAATTACCCATGTCAAGCCATAGCCATCTGTATCTGAAACAACCCTCCGCACTGAAATTTGTCTGTTTTACCGTTCCCCCATTTTCCGATTTTGTTATTTTTTTAATTGTTTTGAAAATTAAGAGGAAGGACAAGATAATGAGAGAGAGATGCTTTATTTGCTAAAGAGGAAAGAGATGATAGTGATGCGTATGTTTACCCCGAACTCCTATCCTTGCCCTCTCAATGTCACCTCCTTTTACATTTTACCCTTTTGAGAAGTGAATGCAGAGAAAAATGAAGTATAGGTGCCCTATATATTGAAAGGAAGAGAGAGTGAGAGAACATCTAGTTTAGTCCCCATTAGTGGAGGCTAAGGGGTAGATTTGAACCTACTAGCTCAAGGGGCTGTTTGGTAAAATGGGTATGAGTGTTTTTTGTTTTTTTTTTGGGGGGGGGGGGGGGGGTTGGCAAGATGAATTTGGGGAAAATAGTCCAATAGACTTCTAAAACCCTTGTTTGGATAACTTTTTCAAGCTATGGACAGCAGTCACGACCCGTAGCTGACCCGATACCTCAAACTCTTGAATGTGGGTTTCATCAAATCCACAGGGGTTGAGTTCCGGTCAAGTCATGCCTGGATTAGTGAGGCAAATGTCATTTGTACTATGAGTTGAACAAACACGAGTATGAATTGAATTAGCCAATGGGCAATATAGTCATTTATACACGGGTATAAATTGGATTCGTCAATGAATCCTAGGGAAACAAAGGTGGGGATTGGGGTTGGCAAGATGTGTTTGGGGAAAATAGTCCAATGAACTCCTAAAACCCTTCTTTGGATCACTTTTTCAAGCCATCGACTGCAGTCCCGGCTTGTAGCTGGCCCGACACCTCAAACTCTTGAATGTGGGTTTCATCAAATCCATGGGGGATTGAGTTCCAGTCAAGTCATACCCGGATTAGTGAGGCAAATATTATTTGTATTTGGAGCTAAATAAACATGAGTATGGATTGAATTAGTCAATGGGTAATATAGTCATTTATAGGATAAATATATGATGATAATGGTGATATATCAGTGGGTCCCGCATAGGTTACATACCAAACAAGGGTATGAATTGGATTTGTCAATGAATCCCATGGAAACAAAAGTGGGGATTGGGCTTGGCAAGATGGGTTTGGGGAAAATAGTCCAATGGACTCCCAAAACCCTTGTTTGGATCACTTTTTCAAGCCATGGACAGCAGTCTTGACCCGTAGTTGGCCCGACACCCCAAACTCTTGAATGTGGGTTTCATCAAGTCCATGGGGGGTTTGAGTTCCGGTCAAGTCATACCCGAAATAGTGAGGCAAATGTCATTTGTACTTTGAGTTAAACAAACATGAGTATGGATTGAATTAGCCAATGGGGCAATATAGTCATTTATAGGACAAATATATGATGATAATGGTGATACATCAGTGGGTCCCGCATAGGTTACATGTCAAACACGGGTATGAATGAATTGGATTCGTCAATGAATCCCATGGAAACAAATGTGGGGATTGGGCTTGACAAGATGAGTTTGGGAAAAATAGTCCAATGGACTCCCAAAACCCTCGTTTCGATCACTTTTTCAAGCCATGGATAGTAGTCCCAGCCCGTAGCTGACCAGACACCTTAAACTCTTGAATGTGGGTTTCATCAAATCCACGGGGGTTGAGTTCTGGTGAAGTCATACTCGGATTAGTGAGACAAATGTCATTAGTACTTTGAGTTAAACAAACATGAGTATGAATTGAATTAGCCAATGGGCAATATAGTCATTTATAGGACAAATATATTCCTGACACCTCAAACTCTTGAATGTGGGTTTCATCAAATCATGGGGGGTTGAGTTCCGGCCAAGTCATACCCGGATTAGTGGCAAATGTCATTTGTACTCTAAGTTAAACAAACATGAGTATGGATTGAATTAGTCAATAGACAATATAGTCATTTATAGGACAAATATATGATGATAATGGTGATATATCAGTGGGTCCCGCATAGGTTACATACCAAACGTGGGTATGAATTAGATTGGTCAATGAATCCCATGGAAACAAAGGTGGGGATTGGGTTTGGGAAAACCAATCCAATCCCTCCCCCAAAGATCATCCAAACAAGCCACAAGGGTATTGGGGTTGAATTTTAGTCGGTGAACCATTGGGGTCAGTCATCCATAGAGAGGAGGAGATTGGAGACGATGAAAATCATAGAATTAAAGTAGGATGCACTAAGTGGAGGAATGCATCTGGCGTATTATGTGGATCAACGTATAACCGTTAGGTTGAAAGGTAAGGTAACTTTTATAAGACAACCATTGGAACAGTAATGCTCCATAATATTTTGGTCATTAAGAAACAAAATGCTCCAAACTTACTTTGATAGATAGCTTTGTGCATTTTCCCCTTCCAAAACAGAGAACCCGTGCATTTTTTTTCAGAGATATGGATGAAAAGTCTAAAATCTCCCTTAGGTTTTACTATTCTAGCAAAAGAGAACAGGATAAAAAAGTTAAAAGCTCCAGATTATTTCAATTAAGCCCACAAAAATGTGACTATTGATTTTTATAATTATATATAAATCCGTATTATAGTAAAAGCAATTGATATAAAAGTCATGAGCAAGGATCCAAATATCGTTCCGTTGTACTGTTTCGATCAGTTTGAAAATAGAAACGTTTTGGGAAATGCAATGGAAATAGGGAAAAAATATGGAAACATGTGGAAACACGTAAAAACATAAATAAAATTCCTTTATTTCTAAAAATAAGCTTAATAATTAATTATGTTTATTAGGTTAACATCCATTTATATAATAAGATAAAATCAAGTTGGAGGGGAAAAAAGGCTTGACACGAGGCGGAAATTACTTCAACTAGTTTCAAATACTTAAGTTTCATCAGGCAAACACATTTTCAGGTATTTAATATACCATAAAATTAATTATATTTAATATACCAATTTAGTAAATTAAAAAAAGGAAAAAGGAAAAAAAAGAAGAGAATTAAAACAAGGGTTATTTACAATGACAAAAGAAAAAAAGGGGGGAGGGGTATTAATTTAATTGAAAGATTTAAAAGACCTGACAAAAAAAAAGAAAATTGAGGGGGGGGGGGGGGGGGGGGAAAAAAAAAAAAAA